TGGGTTCGTTTCCTCAGGTGAATTAAATAGAGTTATAATGGAGCCCGGTTTGCTGTGCCAGCTACATCCAGCTCTTTGCCTTCTCCCACTGTGGATACTGAGAGATAACACTGCCAGTGTTAAGAGAGATGTTTATAGAAACCACCTCCTAACTCTGATGGGGTAAACCTGGGCTTAGGAGAAGCACAAACTGCTATTTCCCACTGGTGATCCCATATTCCTGTTATTTATCACATAAAATCATTTTAAACAGCCGACGTATGGGACAAATCTGTGGGCTGCCAAGTGCTTCAACACACCAGTCTTGTTTCCAAGATAAATTCCTCCTTGGGTGCATTTTTTTTTTTTTAACTAAGTGCAGATTTAATCTTGAAATTGTAATGGCTTGTAAAAAAACGTTGAACGATTTTAATTCCTTGAGGAAATGTGAAAGAAATTCCTTCATAAAAATAAATCAGGAAGAGGCTGACATCTGTGCTGTTTACCTTTCTTTTTTACACTCCTATCACGCAAATTTGAGCCCTGACCCTGTAATTATCAGGCTTTTGGCCTGATATTAGAAAATGTTTGTGCATTTCTCTGAAAACGAGACTACTATAGGAAAGACAGAATAAAAATATTGCAAATCAAAATATTTTAAATAAAAATAACTTGTGCAAACTCAATTTGCTTAGGCTGGGAGACTCTGAGAGGTAAATCCAGCCTGATGGATCACTCCCATGGAGGAGGGAATGTTTCCACCCTGAATTTGGTTTTCAACCCTGATTATTTTGTTTGTAGTCGGGGAATGTTTCTATTGTCAAGACATAGCTCTTGGAGCGGAGAGAACGAGCAGCAATATGAGTGATCCATGCTAAAATGTCAGGATAATATTCCTGTATCTCAGCACGAGGGAATGGTGTTTGCTTTTACTTTATCAGAAACCTGGTCTGCTCAACAGTTCTCACCCAGAGGAGTTGGGAGGGAAGATGAAGTGAAGGCTCCCGGCCAATTTAGCCTTGCTTTCACAAGGATTGAGTGAATTGCTGGAGAAGTTGGCAGCGCCGGGTTGTATCCGCGTGTCAATCTTTGCCCGAGCGGCCCAGAAGGGATTCTGGAATTGCACCTTCGGCACGCCGGCGGCTGCATGACTCCAGGCTGGGTTTCACGCTGCCCTCCATCCACCAGTCTTGTTTCTCAGGAGATTCACTCGATTCTCCAAATGTTCTGGCTGCTCTCGTGCACTTCAGGAGCTTCCTAGAACAGAAGGAAGTCTCCACACTCCCCACATCTCCCTTGAGCATCCTGGTTGCTGCGTGGGAAGAGGGAGAAAGGGTGTCATAGTTGCTCTCTCCAGATCACTTAATTTTTCTTTGGAGTTACAAGGGGAGGGATAAAAATAGGTGAGAGGCAGCCCAGAGGTGTCCAAACCCTCTCAATCTGAGGAAGACACTGAACCTGGGTGCCCTGTGGTGAGTCAAACATTCCAGGCCCCGGAATGTCATAATAAAGCAACTTGTTTTGCCCCTTAAGCCA